GGGACAGTGATTCGAATCTCCAAATCGAATCACTGTCCCTCCAAATTAACCAAATCCAAATCCATTGTGAATACTTGCTGCTTTGCACAGGCCTACTGAGCTGCATCTTTCTTTCCTATTTCCATTTGTTCCTATTTCTTCACCAGCCTTAAATGTCTAGCAGACAACACCAATGGGGACCCAAACTGTTCACCCAGAATCTCTGTTACCCTCTCTCTCAGCCAGTGACATATAATTTGTGCTGCCCCACTCTGCAGTGGAGATGGACCAAGTTGCCCTGAACCTCATCTGCATATAAACTTTTGCAGGATCCCAGGACTCATGACAAGAATTCCTGGTTCCAGTTATGAGTGCAAGGCTAAATAGCACACGGCTCCTTTGTAGTGGGTATCTAGAGCGCGCGCGCGCGCGCACACACACACACGCACACACACACACACACACACACACACACACACACACACACACACACACACACACACACACACACACACACACACAGCAGTGGGGTCACCATGGCTTGAAACGTTGATTCTACTGAAGCCCAGCCCAATGAACTATATGGTAAATCATGAACCTTAAATGCAGAGTTTATACTGTATACAACTTGGTATAGATATAAAAGTGCTGTTTAAAACTGTCTCTACAGAATACCTATGCTAAACTTGTAGCAGTTTCAAAAAAAGTAAAATGCATCAATTCTGACAGAGTTAAGCCTATGGTACCCATACTAATTTGCCTATATGCAAATTATTAGAGGTATGTTTATTTGGCAGTCATATGCTCAGGGAAAGCTGGGTCTGTCAGTAAGGGCGGCAGAAGAAGTTGGGAGGATGGAGAGCAAGAGGGCCACTTTACCCCCCCAGATTTATTTTCCCTGCTGTAGCACTGGGAAGGGGACAAATAAATTCAAGGCAAACATCCAATAATTCAGTTCTATACCTGGGGAATTGTAACATATGTATAAGTCTTCCTTATATAGCATCTAATTATTAGTAGGCTGTCTTACATTCAAGTAAATACAGAACACGGGGGTGTGTAACAAACATAAAAGCCCCTCTGCACTCTCCCACATAATCATATACACAGGAAAAAAACCCACTAACGAGAAACTTTCTTGCGATGTAAAAGCCTTAAATGAGGTATATTCTTGTAACACCAACTCACAGGGATGTCAGTCCCAAATGGCAACAGGAGAAGCTAAAGAAATCTAAGCCTCAAACACTTAACACTGCATCCATATTATAACAACAGAATTCTCCCCTTGATATTATTGCTGTCACTGATTGCACACCATAGAGCTTCATTCTGTGACCTTCCAATGAGTATGCAAGGAGAGTTAACATTGCTTCAAGCAGCATGAACTTTTGTCATGCCAGTGCATATTCTATTCAGATTCTTATCCTGTGACTATCACTGTAAAAGAGTGCATCAGGTACAAAGTTTTCCCAAAGGAAATGTACTGCTCTTCTTTGGTTTCCTAATTCTAACTCCCCAAAATAACTGGCAACATTATCTTTTTCCACAAGGCCAAAGATGGATAAAAGACACTAAGATCACAGCATATACATAAAGGGAAAAGAAAGTTCTCTACATAATTGCCCTTCCTCCTGGCAGGGTTTTTAAAGATTTTTTTATGTGCATTTACTCCCTTCCATATCATACAGCCAGAAAAAGAAGGGGCTAGAAAAAAAAAAGACTTAGGTGCTCTCTAGCCACATTTCACTTGACTTTTGACTACATAAAACAAGAACCCCATAGCATCCTGATAAAGCCAACAAAAGTGGAATTCTCCATTAATATGTTTAGTTTCATAGTTTCTAGGGTCGGAAGGGACCTGAGCAGATCATCTAGTCCGACCCCCTGCCACGGCAGGAAAGAGTACTGGGGTCAAATGACCCCAG